CACTTTACTTACAGTGCTTACTGTTCGCTTGACTCAATTATTTTTCTTCGATCTATCTCCGGCTTATATACCAAAAAAGAGAGCGTCTAGCAAACGTTGGGACATTTGTGAGGTTTCCCGATAAGTCACGATCCTTCTAGACACTCCAGCGCACATGTTCCAAAGCTACAGTTGTAGGTTCCTGATTTGGTATTGTATATGCGCAGGCCACTCGGTGAAATAATCCACCACCACACAAATGTACCTGTTTCCAGCACGTGTTCTGGGCAAAGGACCTGCAATATCTATGGCTACTCTTTCCATTGGTGCACCAACTTTATATAACTTCATTGGAGCACGTCCCTTATGCTTGGGTCCCCTTTTAGCACAACATGTACTGCAAGTTTTGCACCATTCTTCCACATCTTGCCTCATACCTATCCAGTAAAATCTCTGCCATAGGTGACTCAATGTCTTCTTAACTCCAAGATGTACTCCAGTTAAACTATCATGGGATTGACGCAGCACAACTTCCCGTAACTTTCTTGGTATAACTGTTTGCCAGGTCGTCACTTTCCCATCTGCAGTTTCCCATCTCCGGAGAGGAATACCATCTTCAAACTTCAACTGGTCCCATTGTGCCCAATATTTCTTTGTCACAAGGCTTAAGCTAGACACCTTCTCCCAAGCAGCGCGCAAAACACTTGCTTTTAAAAAATTAATTATTGACTTCAAATCTTGGTCTTTCTCCTGCTCTGCTTTAATATTTAGACTTGTAGTATTTCCAATGGTTGTCCCTTGAAGCTCGTTGCCAGGTACACTGCTGTCTGCTCTTCTGTCCATCCATTCATTTCTTCCAGGAGCTCAGATTGTGCTCTATATGCTTCCCATGGTGCCTTCCCATCAAATTCCTGTGGCTTCCTTCGTACTAGATCAGATCACCCGTATTGCTGACACTCATGTCTTGAATGTGGCTTCTGACAGGACTGAAGATGTCTGTATTAAGGTTTAGCTGCTGGGTCTGGAAGGGGCTTCCCATTGTCTGGGGCTGATTAGGTCCATGGCTAATATATTCTCCTTATGTAAGAGACAGTAAATCATACTTTAATGTATTTATTTACTTTGAAATTTACTAATATTTTCCATTTGTGTGTGCAGGCTTTCTCTCAACTGTTGGAGTATTTCTTTCTGTTTCTTTTCTTGTTCCAGTTGCCACTGGTGCTGGTTTTCCTGCCACTGCTGTAGTCTCTCTTCTTGTTTATTTTCTTTCTATTCCAACCACTGCTGTAGTCTCTCTTTTTGTTTATTTTCTTTCTCCTCCAACCACTGCTGTAGCCTCTTCTTGTTTCTTTTCTTTCTCCTCCAACCACTGCTGTAGTCTCTTTTCTTGTTTCTTTTCTCGTTCTTCTTGTTTTTTTCTTTTCCTCCAACAACTGCTGTAATCTCTCTTCTTGTTTATTTTGCTGTTCGAGCTGCCTCTGTTGCAGGTTTTCTTGCCACCGCTGTTGTCTCTCTTCTTGTTTCTTTTCTTTTTCCTCCAACAACTGCTGTAATCTCTCTTCTTGTTTATTGTGCTGTTCGAGCTGCCACTGTTGCAGGTTTTCTTACAACTGTTGTTGTCTCTCTTCTTGTTTCTTTTCTCGTTCTCGTTGTTTCTTTTGCTGTTCTTGTATTGCTGCCATCACATCTGCTAAGCTGTAGTTTGATTTGCCACCTCTCCATTCCATCTTCTTCTTCTTTTTTCTTTTCTTTTCCGTCCCACTCTCTGACACCAATTTGTTGCATATTTGCTTGTTTGTTAATTTCCCGTAGAAATTACTTCCAAGGAACTTCTGCGATACAAGTCTGTTCTTAATTAAAGCTAGTTTATTTTTTCTAAATACAACTTTGCAATACATAGAATTTCCACAGTCACTTTAACTTAACTATTTTTTATAAAAACACGCTATGATTCACAGCGATTCACACACTTTACTTACGGTGCTTACTGCTCGTTTGACTCCATTATTTCTCTTCAATCTATCTCCGGCTTATAAACTAAAAAGAGGGCGTCTGGCAAACGCTGGAACATTCCTGAGGTTTCCAGATAAGTCACGATTCTTCTAGACACTCCAGCGCACATGTTCCCAGCGTCACGTGACTTCCGCTGTCGTAACACTAATTTAAGCATTGAAGAAAAATTGGATTTATATCTTAATCTTTTGATTTGCTATTATAAATGCTGGTAGACTAAAATTATTGCATAATTGTAAATTTATAAAAGTTGAAAAAGGACCATTATGGGAAAATGTACTGGTCATGAAAATTGAGGTATGTACTTGGTAGAATAAGACACACAGGTACTTGCAGCAAATGTTGGACATATATTATGGTATGCAGATTAGACAACACCAGACTAATTAAATGGTAATGAAAAGTGACACATCTCATGTGTTTTTAATTATATAAGTATATACCTATAAAGTTGACCTATTTAAAACTTACAACTTTATTTGCACATGATATTTTATATAATTTGTGATCTCATAACTTGTCATATTTTTTTGGAAGTAAACATCAAATAAATATATCAGATCAAATGTAGACACTATTTTCATGCTTTATATGATTTTTCATGTAAAATAAAATGTTTTGTATAATTAAGTAACCTGAATCCCACTACGAGGAATGATATTTGGTCTTAATTGCATGGTGATCTTGAGAGCCACTCGTCTAATGAGGAGAATGTTAGCATTTGATCCAAATGTTTTATTCTGATTACAGAATGATAATATCAGTGAAATATCTTAAACTGGGTTTCACCAAGATGATAAATTTATAGTATCATGTGGAATTCTATATATATATTTTCTTTACAATAAGAGACTAGTTATGTACATGAGTTAAGCTGCAATAAAAATTGGAGGGTTGTAGCAAAGTTTTTCCTGCACTTCAAGCCTTTAATTATAATACCTTGCAAAGACCATTTAGAGGGAAGGGGCTCAGATCCAAAAAGATCTGTTAGTAGGTCATAACTCGGTAGAAAGAGGAAAATGGAGTCTTTAAAAGAGTAACATTGCTAAATTTATTATCTTCAGATTCGATGACGAGGAACCCACTTTGAGATTAATAATGGCTGGAGACGGCTTGAACGGGTAATGAAGAAAAACTTTAATATAACAGCAAATGTACAACGTTTCGGCAAGGTTTTGTCATCATCAGGTACCCATTCAAGCCGTCTCTAGCCATTATTATTGTCTTTAGATTTAGTACAGTACATGTAATGCATCATTGATGTAGTAAGTGTAATAATTTTTGTTACTTCTTTTCAGCTTCATGTTGTATATATATCAATTTTTGTCACAAATTATCAAATAAATCCGAATGAATTTTATTATACTTATATCAGAAGTGTTCTTAATTATTTCCTTCCACTTCATATGACAAGTCAGATATGTGTGTTTTTTAAACGATTTTTGCACTAATTTCTTAGTTACAATTAGGTTTAGATCATTTTGGCTTGACAAATTTATTAAAATTAAATAACATAATCATCCAAACGTCTAGTTTAGATGGAAAACGACCATAAGTTGTAAGGTGAGATCACCTGGCCATTGTCAGTTCAACTGGCGAGCTTTGAAAGTTCAACACGTAGCAATGGCGGCTGCGTGCTCATGCCGAAAATCACATGACTTCCAATCTAGTGTTATTTATATCCGTGGAACCCACCGACCAAAGGGATGAAGCCGACCGATAACAAACACTTTTACTTTGTATCTTATTATTGAGTATAAGTATACATACAAGATAATTAAAAATTGTTAATTGGAAAAGAGGAAAAGGGATCGTCAAAGAGGTACAGAGACAAGTTGAGGATTATATTTACAAGCCTACAACTATGGACTCCAAAAAAATAAAGAAATTAGGCTGAGAATAGTGTCAACATTATTTTCTCAAGCTACAAGTCTCTCCACGTGTACAGTACTTATCAATTTTAGTGGTTCATGATATTGGGTGCTTGTATTACCATTCGCATTCCCCTTTGAAATGACAATTCAATTAAAAATTGATCACCACTGTTATAAAGAACTCAATGCTCCAAACTGCAGAAAATGATTTTTTTTTCTCTCTCTCTCTATTTTTGCGACAACAGGAAACGAATTACTTATCCTCAGCTCCACAGTCCATCACCCTAACTACTGATTTTTTAAAACCTGGTGTACGAATTGTTTGTAGCAACATTTGTATATGAATATAACATACAGAAAAACAGTGCTTGAAACGGTAAAGAAAGAAAATTTGTTTGTTTTAGAGCAAAGCTGCATTAGATTATTTGCAAACTCCACTATCGGTAATCGAATCCCAGATTTTAGCATTGTAAGACCGTTAACTTACCGCTGTTCAACTGGGGAATGGTAAAGAAAGAAAAATATATCTGTTGTCAAAAGTGT